GGGGGGGGGGGGGGGGGGGGGGGGGGGGGGGGGGGGGGGGGGGGGGGGGGGGGGGGGGGGGGGGGGGGGGGGGGAGTGTCACGCTAGCCTCGACTGGTTGAGGACACGGGCGGCGTGTATTCTTCTGAATCAAAACGGAAACCAGGAACAAGCACCCTTGTTCTCCGCACGGAGGGGTATCTTCTCGCCCCCAGGTTGTTCGGTGCAAGGCCTCTGTCTCGGACACAGACCGAAATATCTCGCATCACACCTCCATTGGCAGCACCGGTAGTCTCTTAATCATCCATACCTCCAAGTCAGGGACCGCTCCGTACGACGCGATCGCCTCCGTCCGGAGCGCCGGCGGCGCCCACGTCTTTCGCGCCTGCGCCACCGCTTCCGCCGCTCGCGTGTCCCCGTTCGCGGAGAACGTTCCAGGCGCCGGTGACAACGTCGGCGTCAAGGAAGGAAATCGCGTTCTGGTCCTCTTCTTGTTTTTGGTACTAGTGCTGCTGTTGTTGCTGTTCGTGCCCTGATGTCGTTCCGGTGGAAGCGAGGCGTGACGATCCGGTATCGATGCGGGTGGCTGTGCGTGGTACGATTGGAAGTTGCTCAGAGGTAAATCTGGCGGGCCTGGTTGTTGTCGGTGTGTCATGGACGGGGGGGGGCGGGGAAGAACAGCAAAGTGCTTTGTTAGACATGACACGCAACATCAAAGGAGCAACCAAGGACTATCCGTTCGAGCGAGCGACTACTTGTTTCGTGACGCCTGCCGGAGGCTGGACTTGAAAGACTGCTATGTTCATGGTCCTTCCAAGCAAAGTTCGCGCAAGCGGAAACGGGTTCGTCGTGCCGAAGACGCACCACCAATGTGCTGCTGTAGTTTCCACGCACAGATACTTTTGGGTTTGCATAAGTCATCTATGCCGAACGGCCGTTGGTAATCGATCTGCGGTTTCTTCAAGGTGTACATGCTCCCTATATCGTCTCTGTGCTCGACAGAGTACCGGGAATTGGGCTTTCTTGTTGTATATCCTATGCGTACTGCGAGCTACTGGTAAGTGCATAGAAATGCAATAGAGAGCCAGAAAGCATGATGATAGGAGGAGAATTCCACACGTTTTGAAACAGCACCGCATCGCTGCTCAAATCCCAACCGAACACGACTCGTTTGACGAAAAGAGATCGACTGCGATTGATCGGAGACAGGTGGAAAGTAGGAGAACATATACGCTCCTGAAACGCTACAGCTCCGGTACGTTGAGCGGAACACGTCAACCTCACTACAGTACCGCTGTCTACGACTGCGTACCATCTACCAAAACACCACAATGGCGTTATAAGGCATCACCTTCGGGTCCCCCCCCGTTGCGGTCTTCGATCACCGTGTACCCCCGTCCGGCTCCCCCGCCGAACTCGAAAGCCCTCGAGTAAGGGTTCCGGTCGGCAAGCTCGCCCGGGGCGTCCAGCAAGCTCGCCGTCTCTCCGCCAAGCACGGCCATCTCGGCAGCCCCTGCTGCCCCTCCCTCTCGCCGGGGCGCTCCCATAGAGCGGCACAGACACAAGCAGGGCCGGGGGTCGCGGTAAGACTCTTAGAGGTCGTTCCCAAAACCGGCTGACCTCCAATACCGGAGTAGAGACAATGCTCGCGGTGGACGGTCTGGCCGCGGGTAGCGCGCACCACCGGCCGACTTCGGTAAAGAAAGTGTGGGTACCTGCAGAGAGTGCAAAAGGTTGTTTGTGGCAACGAACAATTGCTGCTGTTCAAGTTCCCATTTGGAAGAGAGGGTGACAAACACTACGGCAAACTGTGGTACTGCTTTAGTCAACCCTCATGGGCGACACATGCCGGTCGAGAGGGCATGATGAACTGCCGTGCGGAGTTCTCACTCTGAGCACCAGGTGTTTCTATCGCACAGCAGCAGTTTCGGTAACCCTCTCCTCAGAAAAATGCCTAGAGAGTGAGAAACGCTACAAGGCAAACTGTCCTGTTTTGGTCCACTCTTGCGGACGACACATGCCTGTCGAGAGGGCATGGTGAACTGCTGCCATGAGGGCGCGGAGTTTTCACTCTGAACCTCGTGTGTCTCCTTCGTACAGCAGCAGTTTCGGTAACCCTCTCCTTAGAGAAGTTTCTTCGAACCCGTCCGTGTACAGTCCACACATTCTACAATGACGGATAATTGAGCTCTGGCACTGTAGACATCAATCGTCTACACGTCTTGAAGACTGCACTTCAACGTAGTCTCTACTTGTAGCCTACACTTGTACTTGCACGTTGTGGGCCCTTGCTCTACCGCCTACAGCAGTAGCAGTGGTTCGGCGCTGTTGACCTTCGTCGTTGTGTACACGACAAAATATCAAGCAATCGCCCTATCCAATGACCCCGTGCGCCAAAAGTGCACTTGAGTTCTTCCTGACCTGTGAGCCGGTGGCAACGCCTGGCTATCCGTGCCTATGGAGAACACGTGGTGGACTGCTGTGATGTGATGTTGTGATGATGTGATGTGATGTGATGTGATGCAATGTGGTGCGGTGGGTTTTCAGGGGCTCCACATAGGAACAATTTCACGCGGGTACCACCGAGAACCTCTGTTTTTGAACGAAGAGACAGCTCCGCGCCGTTGGCCTGTGGTGTGTTTTTGTCGTTGGGATTTATCTTCAGCTCTTCATCTTGGCTGATCTTCCCCGCACCCAAGAACAAACCGCTGCAGGCAACGCGCAACGGGCTGGACGTGGTGGAGAGCAAGGGTGTCCCAGCGAAGGGAAGTTGCCCTTCGTCCATCTCAGTCAGGTATGGGTTGGTCAAGCTTTTTGAGTGTCGACGCCCCGTCTCGAAACTTTCTACATGATGAGAACGACGAACTGCCAAATCCTGTGTCGTCCCACACGGTCTATGGTGGCCCTGATATTTTGGCGAAGGCACACACGCGTACTGGTGCTGTCGGCGCACAGATAAACCGTCCGTGATCCTCGTGCTCGCTTTTAATAAGCCGCCTCTCGTCTTTTAGCCCCTCCTACCACCCAATTGGCCTCCAACCCAGAATGATGGTGTTCGGGGGCTCAACGGCAACAGCAGCAGCAGCGCGAGCCCATGATGGGGATCTCGGACTGCCACCAACGCGACGCATGTCCTCTTCAGCGGAAGGCCGTCTAGGCGATGGGCGGGGGAGAGGAGGAGGGAAAGTCCCGGAAATAGCCGTGCTTGTGCTGGGGAATTTTCAAGGCGCCGTTGTCCTGGACATGGGGATTGTTACGGTGCGCGTCCGTTGTGCTGCTGTGGGTTGTACAATCAGCAGGCACGATGAATACCTCAGGATCTACTGCTGTAACACTACTTTTGTTCTGGGAGTACGTGATTACACTTTCCATGGCAGCGTGTCCTACCACACCGACAAGCCCGACGCCGACACCGAGGAGCAGTGCGGACGGCGGTGGTATACGCTTGCCTTGCGAAGACAAAACTGATGCAGCTGTTGGTTATGCATGTAGAAAATAACACCAGTGATGGACATCGCGTATCGATTTGCCGCATTCGATGTCGATATCTTAGCGATACTCAACATCGACATATCTGAATTATTTTGCCGATACGTCGATACGGTATCAACATCGAACATCGAGTATCGAGCATACACGATACGATATTTTCAGACACGGGCCCCCCAAATATGACGTATATACTACCTTTTGAATTGATAACACCAACTGCAACACACAGCAGATATGAGCCTTTCAGCTTTCGGCTTTATCCCTAATGAGGGCACCTTGTTTTTTTTTCTGCATGTTAATATTTTAGACTATTATTACAGTATGTTGTTGTGCACCTCTGTGGGTCGGTCAGTGGAGCAGGTAACAAGACAAGACTGGTGCAGTATTCAAGCTACGGGTTAGTCTCAGTTGGCGAAAAGTTTCTACTGCTGTATTACTTCTACATCATGATATATAGTCTGTGCCTTTTGTATGCCCTTCCAAGTTGCCTCTCCCTCCCGGAGCTTCGCACACCTTCCAAACGCCACCTACCTTCTGGGCCTAATATTCGCGATGCAAGATCCACATCTATGTCCACATACATACAAAGGTCGGCTACACTTTTACACTTCACGTCTCAGCGGTGTACAGTATCATCCACCGTATCAACCCGCCTGCTGTGGAAGTGAGACCATAGAATCAATCTTGATCTTGGACAGACAGGAAGACAAGGTTTTGCTGTATCCGCCTTAGATTTTCTGGGAAATATCGTATCGAAACATCGATAATCGGAACATCGGCCACTTTGGCGAACATCGGAAAAACATCGGCAATCGTCAATTTATAACCAACAGTTTCGAACATCGTATCGGCACCCGTTTTGCGGGCGATGTCCATCACTGAAGAACACTTCAATGGATGCGCGCTGGCAGCGGCGGCGGAACTCGACTTGGCGCGCTTCTTGTCGAGCGGGGAGAGGGCGGG